TTCTTAGCAGCTCAAGTCCAGATCCCAAGCCAAACAGAAACTCAGCTATGCCTGTAACTTATGAGAATGCTCACATCAAACATTCAATGCCAAACAGTAAATGCTGAAACAAACTCCTACAATTTAGAGAGGTGGGCATGGCCATTATGGTAGTTACCTAAAATTTTACCATTTTCATGTGCATATGTAGTGCTCCTGTGAGCATGCATGTTTGCAGACACTCACTGATTGTGCATGTGGGGCCCAAAATTGATGTTGAAAATCACCCTCCATGGCTCTCCCTTTACCTTATTAACTGAGGGAGGTTTCACAATAGGACCTAAGAGTTGGTGGTGTACACCTAGTCTTTTTCTGGGGACCCCTGTCTCATCCTTCTGAGGCAGGAATTAACAGGAGGGCTACTGCATACCCCAGGCATTTATGTGGGTTCTGGGGATCCAAGCTCAGTCCTCAGGTTCACAGAGCAAGTTCTCTGACCACTGAGCACCTACTTCAGATCCTAAACTTGTTCTCTAGGCTATCCTGATGGGGAAAACAACAGGAGGATACAGTATTTGTGTGGGTTGAATACAGTTAGATAGACTATCAAAATCTTTTTAGCTGGGCATAGTGGCACACAGCCTTTTATCCCAGCCCTTGGGAGGTAGAGGCAAGTGGCTCTCTAATAGCTCAAGACCAGCCTGGTCAACATAGCACATTCCAGGAGAGTCAGGGTTACACTGCGAAACTCTGTCTCCAAATACAAATGCTTTTAAGCTAAGGATTGTGCTTCCTAACTCCATTAACCATAAAAGACTAAGAAGTGGCATCTATTTTACGGCATTGCTATGTAGATAGAGTTCATGATGCATGTGTTTGCATGCACGTGCGTGTGTGTGTGTGTGTGCAGGTGTCTGTGTCCATACATGCGGCAGCTAGAAGTCAGCCTTGGAGGTCTTCTTCAGTCACGGTCCCCCTTATTTCTGAGTCCTCCTTATGTCTTTCACTGGTCGGGAACTTGCCTCTTCGGCTAACTAGTTGGCTGAATACGCACCCGGCTCCCCTCCCAAGGGCAGGGGTAACAAGCGTAAGCTACCAAGTCCACGTTTTTACACAAAGGCTGAGGTTCAGGCTCAGGTGCCGGCGCTTACGGCCAAGAGCTCCCCAGCCCAAGAGCTCCCCAGCAGCTGGATATTTTTGCTAAGGCTAAACAAAGTGACAGTACCTTCCTAATCCTTAGAGTCTATCACAAAGTACCAGTTCGGTGCAGGTGGCACAAGAGTCTTCCATTCTCTATAGGATTTTCATACACAACTGCTTTAAAGTATTTTTAAAATGCAGAAACTGTGGTGAACTGTTAAACACAGGAAGCTGCCCAGAGCTTCTGACCCGGAAGACACCACATTCCAGTCAATACTTTTAAATGAATGCATGAAGACCCATTAGAAACCCAGGTTTCCTCCTAAACTGCAGCAGACCCGTGTGAGAAACAGATGCTGGGACACAGCGGCGATGCAGAGCTGAGAACGGCGTGCCCTCAACGACCTTCGTGTAGCTAACCACACACAGTGTGCCCTCAACGACCTTCGTGTAACTCATCACACACA